GTTCAATTCGGTTGGGTGGATTGGAACTAAGTTCTGTTTGGATTCCGTTGAGTGATGGTCCGGAATCCCCTTTGGAGCCTTGGTCCGTTGGGTGGTCCAAAATCCCCTTTTTCAAAGATGTAGTCTTCAACTGAAATGTGTTGCTCTAGCCTTGCGTTTTGACTTCTTGTATGTGTTATTGAAGATGTGATGGTTGACATTATTGATTGATGTGATTGTGGAATGACGTTGGATATGAGTGGAGTTATCATGAGTATTTTAGTTGATTAATGTTTCTAGAGATTAATATGTTCTTTGTTAATCCTTAAATATGTTACTTGCTATGAAACGCGAATTTATGTAGGAAACGTGAGGAATTTATGTGAGTGTTGAAGTGGATATGTTAATCGTCATGTGGGATTGTTATGTTGGATATTATGGTTATTGTTATGACTAGACTTGTTGATAAATGTGGCTAGAGAATGGTATTATACATTGTTGGTTCTTTGAAATGATATATGTTGTGAATTGCGGTATCATGTTGTGACATAATGGCCTATATATTGATGGAGGGGAAATCATGATTTTCAGATGGGTTGTTATGTAACCCTGAGTCTAGTATTTTCATGCTTGTCAAGTTCTATTGATTGATTGAGAAATGTTATACCTTTCGACTTAATCGGACTATGTTATATGTCAATTATTGTGCATGACGAACTACGAATGACTTGATCCCTGTTTAGGGTACGTAGGCAGTCTAACGGGGAGGTTAGATGCAGCCATAAAGCATACGAAAATAACTATGTGATTCGATTTTGAGTTGTGCTTGCCCATATCCCGGAGGTGGGATAGGATAGATACGGATGTTTGGTGACGTCACGTGTCAATTCGGGACGTATGTCGGGATTGGGGCGTGACAGTAAATGCTGCCCGTCGTGTCTTGCTTGAGGCAAGTAAATATTTTTTTTGGTGATCAAAGCGATCGGCCAAAGTAACCCAGAGAGTGCGAGGGTCCTCCTCAGCAAGGTACTCGGTCTGCAGTGCATCATAGATGTGTCTTAGGATGAAGATCATAGTAGTAACTTTATGAGCTTTGTTGACTAGGTCGTTGGTAGGTTCCTCGATGGTAGCTCGAAGACTCTTTGCAGTAAGATGGAGCTTCATGTCTTAAACTCACTTTAAGTAGTTTCTGCCAGATACTTCCAAAGCGATGAAATCGAGCTTGTTGAAGTTTGACATGTCCCTAAAACAAAGGGTACAACAAAAACGTGGTTAGCCATATGGAAAATCATAGACATACATTGTAGAACATTCGGATTTTATAGACATGGATTGGTTTAATTTAAGTATGAAAGTTACGGGTTTCATGTGGTAAGTTTTGAATGAAAACTTCGGGTTTCAAAGATGCTAAATTTGAAAATACAAGTTCAATTTAGTTAAGAACGTCTAGTTCATACATAGGGGTACCTGCAAGAACACAAAATACAATATACAATAAAGTGTAGTGAATTTATGGATTGCTTCAGGAACCCAAGTGTGAGTGAGTCGGGACTACGAAAGATAGTCAACGGTTCAAAGAAAATTGAATTGTTAATTGCCAAAAAGTGAACTTTAGGCCAATTATTTTGGATTAATTGTCAGATTAATGGCATGTGGGTCACTTTAATTAATTCAATAGATAGTAACCATTCAGGTTTGATCGTAAGTAATAACATTCAGGTTAATATTAGTGGGAATGTTAACAAAATAGCATTGGATTAAAACAAAAGGGAGCCCAACTCAGTGGGCTAGAAGTCGTGTATAGGAAAAGGCCCTAAAGGGGTTTAATGGGCCACGGGTTGGCTACAAAGGCAGCCCAATCATGGTTGCAGGACACGAGCCGATTATGGGAAGGAACCTAGCAACTAGGCTGCTGGTTTTGGGCCTCAAAATAGCGCAGGGGCCCAACATATGCTGATCTGTCATTGGTGCTCGTAAAGACTAACCGAAGCTGGGGTTTGGTTTTTGGGCTGGGGTAGTTCAAGCCCAGCAGCTCTAAAGCTGCTGGTAGGTTGGGCCAAGGGTTGACGAAGCCCAGCAAGCAACGCGGCCTTGCTGCAGGCGAACTTAGGGCACAAGACGAAGCCCAACAACATATGGTTGCTGGTTTATGGGCCAGGGACGCAGTGGACAGGCCCATTGAGAGCTGCAAGCTCTTAGAAGTGGGCTGGGACTGTAGGCCCATAAAAGAACCCTACCAAGGCAAGGGCTTGGGTGTCGTGCGTGTGCAGTAAAACCTAAATGGCTACTGCTATATGGTCCAAACGTCCAACAACGTCGTTCCAAGGTGCACCATGCGACTGGGCTGCAGGCCAGCAATGAGGCTCGGCAATGGTGATGTCAGCAATGGCACGGCGGTGAGCCACGGCCTATGCCGCAAAAATCCCAGATTTTTTTTTTTCCTTTTGAATTCTAGGGTTAAAAACCTTAATTGCTTCTAAATTAATTTCGATGTTTTGACTCACAAATTCCACATAACATAGTTGCGTATTGCATGAACAAATATATATATATATATATATAGATATAGACCAAATATATGAACACATATGCAATATATATAATTGAAAGAAAAATATAAATATAGGGGGTTCATGTATCATGTGGAATGTTTTCATGCTTCAAGGTCGTTTCAAATATCTTAATTTATTTTAAAAGAACCTAATTAACATAAAACAATTAAACCCTTGATTGTGTAGAAGAGAGCATCCTCCTACGATCCTTCAATTCCTTAGCTTCTGGTAAGAGCATGCTGATAACATGTGGTAGGCCTAATTTACTGAATTGTATTTAGGACTAGAGAGTGAGAGGGCCGGCAACAAGAGAGATGCAATTCTGAGGTGTGTGTTGTATCACCCCATTGTGCCTTTATTTATATTAGTGTGATAGGTTAAATCTTTACCCTAACATGATTACAACTCTAATAGGATAATATCTACTAAAGGGAATATTCTAAGATATCCCTAAATACACTAGGATTTACACAATCACATTCCTAATCTAATAGGACTGCAACAGTGTCATCATTTGTACTATTTTTTTGATAAAGATTACACCCACATGAGTTAGTGAACTCTATCTCTATTAAATAGAAAATACAAATAATATTACAAATATGTGATAGGTTTGGATGGTTAATAATAATTGAATTTTACCTTAAGCAATTTGGATACGTGTAAAAAGTGAAAACTTAATTGTATAATTGTCCCTTTCTTTACTTGTACCAATTTAAAATGGTAAGGAGGATCCAAACTTGGAACACATAGAGGAAGCATATTTGTTCTCGTTAATTGGTTATACCTATGTATGTTTGTGGGAGAGTTAAAAAGAGAGGAAGTTAGTCAATTCGGTTTGAGTATTTATCAAATATAGCAAAAAATTAACCTTTAATTTTAAAAAAGTCACTTTTTATAAAAACTTTAAATATATCTAAAATTTCATTTAAATAGACATAAATACTCTCAAATTTAACAATAAAATAAATTAAAGGTTTTTATAGCCAAAATGGTTTGTGATATTGACATAACTCCTTAGGCTGGTCCTTACCAATGAAAATCAGTGGTAGTATTTTTGAATTTGTCTATCGTAAATCATTTTAGTCTTTCTCTGAATTTGTCTATCGTGATCATTTTAGTATTTCCATGAAAAATCTGTCAATTGCTATGTTAGTGCGATGATATGGCGCCACGTGGGTCTCACAATACAATCATATAATGACATGTGGATTGACTTTAAGAACTATTTTTATATTTGAAACTAAAAATGATATTAGTAAGAAAAATAAAAGAAGTTAAAACAAGAATCCTAACCTACCTAAACCCTTATTCTCTCACAATCCAAACCATCCACCTTCCAATTCAAATTTCTGCACCCTGAGATAATTTAGTGGTTCTTTCTTAAAATATTTCCTTTTCCAATTGGGCTCGAAGATTATAGAGAATTGATGCGATTCAGAAAGAGTTTTTGCGTCTATGAATTGGCGACAGGTTCTGAGACTCGGGTCGAGGAAAGAAAGAAGGCGTTGAAGGCATGATTGAAATTCTACTGCTCCCATTGGTGGTAACTTCAACAACACTCAATGTCGGTGATGAGGAGGTCGAAATGGATAGGGTTATGGTGGTGGAATGTAGGAGCGAAGTGAGGTTGGACTGGAGCTTGAGGTGACGGTGGCTAAAAAGCCTTTAATTCATTTGATTATTAAATTTGAGAGTATTTTTGTCTATTTAAATGAATTTTTGGATATATTTGAAAGTTTTTATAGAAATTGACATTTTTAAAATTAAGAATTAATTTTTGGCTACCTTTGATAAATACTTTTTTGGTTTGTGCCCAAGTCCTCATCCTTTTCTTTAAAACTTTTATGAAAGAAGCTAATTGGGAATGCTCCAAATTATGTAGATGATAAAATAAAAAAAGGAGGTGTGTTAGAAACACGTGTCCTTATTATCTATAAAAATGAGAATATTATGAAAAAGAATAAGAATGAAAATAAATGAATATAGATCACCTTTACTATTAAAATATATTTATTTTTCAGTTAAATTTGAAATTAATAAAATCGAAACACGTGTATTTATTATCGATAAATATGAGAATATTATGAAAAAGAATAAGAATGAAAATAAATGAATATAAATCACCTTTACTAATAAAATATATTTATTTTTGTTAAATTTGAAATTAATAAAATCGAAACACGTGTATTTATTATCAATAAATATGAGAATATTATGAAAAAGAATAAGAATGAAAATAAATGAATATAGATCACCTTTACTAATAAAATATATTTATTTTTCAGTTAAACCTGAAATTAATAAAATCCACCTACTTCTCATTCTTTTTTTTTTTTTTTAAATCTATTACGATAATATTATTCACACAACGAAATAAAAAATAATTTAATATCGCCATTCCACAAAATTCGAACAAGCAAGCAAGGAAAGGTGTCGTACAAAGTAAGCAAGCAAAGGTGGAAGACACGATTATCCGGACCTGATCCTCTCGTTCATTCGTGTATTAGCCTCCTGAGTTCCCCGTTCCACAAATCAGAAATGGCGGTTAACAGTTGTACCTGCGCATCTATTCCACCTCTGCTCTCCTCCAAATCCCATCACTCTAACCCTCCTCGATTCCACCCGCACACCAATTTCCCTAAATTCGACCGTTGCAGTTTTCCGACCGTTAGTTGGCGCCAAAACCTTGGCAGTCTCAGTACCTCCGACAGTCGGCTCGTAAGAGCCTCCGCCTCCGCCTCCAACTCCGGCTCCGACTCTGAGAGCAGAGAGCCCATGCTTCCTCCTTACAATGTGCTCATCACCGGCTCAACGAAAGGTCATTCACTATTCTTTCGTGTTTTCTTGATTTTCGACAAATATTGGGTTGCGGTTGCTGCTTCCTGTTGGGTTTTTGATATGGGTTTTTATGGCGTTTACTCTTTTCAAGAATATTATATTGAATTTTCTGGATTTCTGACTGCCGGTGCATTCAACGCACACACGAAATTGTCATGGTTGCATATATTCCTCATGAGTTATGACTGACATTTTCTAGTTTGGACACTGCAACCTCAACCTGTTTCCTGTGCAATGTAGAGAAGTTTGATTTTAGAAATCCGAATACAAGACGGTATAGTTTGGGCAATGTCGAATTACATTTGGTGCAAAATAGCTATCTTATGCTCTTCCATTACTTCATTCGTTTTGTTATTGGATTGTATTCTACAGTTTCTACTTATACTTAAAAATATAATAATAACTACTGTCGCTTGTTGAGTGACTAAAATAACCTGCAAAGCAAACAAGCCTTGGGGTTCCGCGACACCTATGTGAGGCCGGCTAAGGACCCTCCATAGGTCAACTCCTCTTCAGGAAGCTTACGATAATTGAAACTCAAGAAAGAGTTAAAACTTATGGAGTATTTTGTACCTTCGATTGGTCATGGTGAGGGTGGTATTATACTGATAGGAGAGCTTGCTAGCTGAGGGATTGCACACTAGATTTTCTGTAATTGTTGTGGGCGTCAAAGGTTTTTTCTGACTAGGTGTGAATATCTATGAATCCTTCTGTGTTGGGACTTGGCTTCTGTAAATTTTGGAAGCTATGTGTTTAATTATGCCGGTGTCTATGTTAAATTATCTTTTCTGCCTATTCTTGAGCTGAATTGACTTTCTGCCCGTGCTACACCTTAGCCATCTTGGCTTAAGTTGTTTGAGCAAGGGTTGGGATCTTCCACAACCCGCAGCTCAGGCCTATGATTTTGGTGGTGTTGCCAGCTGGAGCTAAACGACAACTTAGTCTTTTTGTTCAGTGGGCATGTGGCAGGACCAAGTCGTCTTTGGTCTCACACTTGCAGTGTCATGCATTCAGAGTTTCACATTGATTTCTATCATTTATTATGCGATCAACAAATTTATTTATTTTATATAACTTTTTCAGTTCCAATATGCTCTGGTTTTCCCTTAATTTTAAATCAGGTATAGGATATGCTCTAGCCAAAGAGTTTCTAAAAGCAGGGGATAACGTCGTAATTTGCTCAAGATCAGGTACCTTATGACTGTGCGTTTCTGAAATCTTCTTGGAATATGGTTCATTGCTTCATGACAAAACATTTTGTGGTCAAATGTGTTGTATCTTTATCCTATATGCAATTGTTGATGATCAATGCATTATGACAGAGGTTGTAAGCCTCATTTGAATTTTGATGACTAGTAAGAAAACAATATGTTCCAATGTATACTCTAAAAGCGTGACAAGGGATTTGGTTATGATGAATGCTTGACATTCTAGGTTTCGATAACTAAGAAATCAGTTCTTCAAAACATAGGACTGAAGTAAAACAATCCTTCATCTCTAGAGGTTTCATTGGAATAAAATGTGCCTCAAGGATCTTTATGTGCAACCGTTACACTCCATTTTACATGGATTTTAGAAATGTAAGGTGAAGTTGCACTTTTATTCCTGTAATTTTGGCTGTCATTCAAGTTTAGTTCTTATTGATAAATAAGCTTAAAAAATATACTCTTGCAGTTTTTTTTACAATGTGAAACTGGTCCAAATCTAATAAAACCCACGAGATGCGGCTTTATCTCCATGGGTCCATGCATATTCCTTCAATAAACAGAATGTTTGATTCAGACTTATTTGATAACTAAAGAGGGACCTTTCATAATAAGAACGGGTAGCCCAAGATGCTTATATATCCAATATTTTCGAGATGATCAGACCAATTGCATGTGGATATTAGAACTTTTAATTCTTTGGAAACACATAAACACCATTCTGCATACTGAACTTTATAAGAGCTTAGGGACAATAAGTTTTTGGTGGAACGGGAACCCCATGCACAACTAACTTGGAAAAATGAGAGTAACATTTAAGCGATTTAGAGCCCGTAGTTTTGGATCTGCTTCTACATCATGCAATTAATGAAAGATTTTATGGATCACTTCTGTTTTTTCTTCTCAAGTTTCATTGCAATTTCAGTAGCTGGTTTACTTTCTCATTGAATATAAGTCTTTTGTCATTATGTTCAAAATCCGTTTGGAAGTATAAAAACTTACTGGGATGCAGAAGTTTTAATACGAGAATTTATTTTATGTTTACTATTGAAATACCAAAATGGTAGTTGGTCTTATTACCTGCTTAGTGCTTTTCTCTTTTGAAAATTTTATCCTTAGCTGAACGTGTTAATGCTGCTGTTCAGAGCCTTAGGCAGGATTTCGGGGAGCAGCATGTGTGGGTACCTCCCTTGATACTTTTTCATTTTAATTATTGAATATTTTTTCTTATATATGTGTTTGCATGTGAGTATATATGATAGTTTTCTCTTGTGTCTTCATTCCTGCTATTTACATTGTTTCTTGTACTTCATGCCGTTGTTTCTTAGTCATATTTCACTTCTTTCTTTACAGGGTACTAACTGTGATGTTAGAGAAGGGCAGGATGTGAAAGACTTAGTTGCTTTTGCACAAAAAAACCTTAAGTACATTGATATATGGGTATTAATACCATACACTTTTCTTTGTCACCCACAACATTTAAATATTTTCCCCAACGACTAGTGCCCTTGCTTTCCCCATTCCCCCATCTCCCTTCATCCTTAATAATTCATCTTGTGCATCATAAGAAATATTTGATTTTGATGCTTTGAGGAATATATAATTCTATCTTACCTTATTTGTGAGAATGGTGCAGATTAATAATGCAGGATCAAATGCGTATAGCTATAAACCACTGGCAGAGGCTTCAGATGAAGACCTTATGTGATTATCCATTCCCTCATTTTTTTTACAATTTCATTAAACTTCTTTTTTACCATAGTTTTGACCATTATGGTTATTCTTAATTTGGACTCATTACATGCAGTGAAGTCGTTACTACGAATACGCTTGGTTTGATGTTATGTTGCCGTGAGGTAGAAAATTCCATTCTTTTTAAGCAAGGTGCATGTAAGCTGAGTCTCATGCATGATTATTGTTTTGTTTATCAGGCAATAAAAATGATGTTCAACCAGCCTCGAGGTGGTCATATTTTCAACATTGATGGAGCTGGTTCCGATGGAAGACCAACCCCAAGGTGCTATATTAGTTTCTCTTTGCTATATCTTTTTATGCTACTTTTTTGCCGTTATCTTGTTTGGACAACCATTCCTTGACAGAGTGGAAAGAGTATATGGAAGTTTTCTAGTACATGGACACAAGTGGGCACATTGAAACGGCTTAATCAGATTCTTTAGCAAGATGTTACACCTTGGTCTGAGTTATGCATGGTTATCCGCTGAGCATCATGTCTAGACAAATAGCATTCTCTCCTAACAACAAGAAAAACAACAACAAAAATAAAGCCTTATCCCACTAAGTCAGGTTGGCTGTATGAATCTAGAACGCCATTGTGCTTGTTTTTGTGCCAATTCTACCATTAGCTCCAAGTACTTCATTTCTTAAGTCTCTTTCCAAGTCTTCCTTGGTCTTCCTCTACCCCTTCTGCACTGAGACTCTGTCTCATAATTGCATCTTCTAACTGGAGCATCCATAGGTCTTCGGCTCACATGTCCAAACCACCTTAACCGATTCTCTCTCATGTTATCTTCAATTGCAGCCACTCCTACTTTATCTCAGATATCCTTGTTCTTAATCCTATCATTTCTCGTGTGCTCGCACATCCAAAGAAGCATTCTCATCTCCACTACACATTTTTTGCACATGTTGTTGCTTGAACGCTCAACATTCTATGCCATAAAGCATTGCTGGCCTTATTCCCGTCCTATAAAATTTTCCCTTGAGCTTTAGTAACATACGTCGGTCGCACAACACACCCAATGCACGCTTCCACTTCGTCCATCCAGCTTGTATTCTATGATTGAGATTTCCGTCCAATTCTTTGTTCTTTTGCAAGATACATCCAAGATAACGAAAATGCTCACTCTTTGGTACTTCTTGATCTCCAATCCTCACCCTCAGAGTCTCTCATAGCATTCTCTTCTAGAAAAAGCAAATTGAGAGGAACATAATTCTTTTTAATTAACATAATGGAGTGCATAGGGATAGAAGTGAAATTTTGGTTCTCCATGTTTTTATTTGTTTTTAACTGGAAAAACTAATCTTACCTTTTACTTTCACATATCCCATTTTCCTCCAAAACCATTAGCTCGCCACCAGTCTTAGCTTCTGTCATCGTGTGTCAGTTTGATCATCATTGCCTTCTCGTCAGCATTGTCACATCAATTCTAGCACCATTGCTGCCTTTACTCTGTCATGGAAATTACATTTGAGCTTCAACACCTTGATGACACTAGTACCAGGACCACCCAGCCACTGGCACTGTCACTTTTGGTGATTAGAATAGGTTTTCCGTTAACCTTCTATATATCATTTTAAAGTGAAGCCATTATATGGTTAACTGAATTCTCTTATTTTCTCATCATTATGCAAGACATTGTATGCTTTGTTGCATTCTCTTATCTCTTAGGTACATGCATGTGACATGAGTATGTTAAGATGCAATTTCTCGGTGAGCGTTGCATGATGGTTCTTTCTTTCTTTTGTTTATTTCCGTAGGTTTGCAGCATACGGGGCAACAAAGCGTAGTGTGGTGCATTTAACAAAATCATTGCAGGTACTTTCAACTTGTTTCAATTGTTAATGGCTGTGACCACACTGGTTGTTTTCTTCTTTATCATGGGCATTCTTTCTTTAGTCACCTGCTTTTTAAGTTGTGGTACCCAAATACTTGAGACGCATTCTATTTTGTAACTATCCTTGTTAATGGGTCCCACCATTCTGATACATAAATCAGGTTGGTCACTCAATGGAAATTGTCCGAATCTAACAATTAACTCTTCCATGGAGCATTTTTAGTTTTGAAACTTAAAAGCATAGTTCTGTTGTGGTTCTTCTTGTGTTACCATCTAACCTGCCTATACTTAGATCTAGATTTTACCTGTTGGGTTTTGGGCGCTCTAAATGGCATCTTCACCTTAAAGTAAGCAACTCATCTGGGAAATGGGCAAAAATCTGAACTGCCATTCCAGTCAATGGGTATGTCCAAATGGTATCGGTCCATGTAAGAACTCACACCTGAGAAGGGGGACGACTGTGGGTTGTATAGAGGAAAGATTTCTGCTGGCTATCCTTGTGAGCATCAGTTCCTTTGGTTTTAGAGTGTTTCTTTCATGCTATTAAACCAAATTGGGCTACTGTTATAATTTAGTTCTCTTTTGTTTTGTTTTTCTTTTCGATGGTTTTTCTCTAGTTGCTCATTAGCTTGGTGGATCCCAGGGTCACCCTGTGTTGTATCAGACTTTTCATTGAATTTTTTTGTTTTTTATATATAAAATTAAAAGTATCTATAATGATATGAGAAGAAGCCGGGAAGGATACCAAATGTCTTCAAAGTTGATATGGTTTCTTTTCATTGAAAGTTTCACAAAACACAAAGTGCCATTGAGGCATGCATCCACAATCCCAAACACATGAATCAATTCCTCAAAATATGACTGGTAAACTTAGGGTCAAGCCTGATATTTACGATCAATAGTCTCTGTGTCTCCCCCAAAGCATAATTGTGGTGTCTTGATGTCATTATATTATTCAAATCTGCTCCCAACTGAATTTATAATATGTAATTCTTAACACTTTCGCAGGCAGAACTGCAGATGCAGGATGTCAAAAATGTTGCAGTGCATAACCTTTCAGTATGTAATTCCATACTCTGTTCCTTTTTGCCTTTTCGTTTTGTTTTATTTCTCCAAAAAAAAAAAAAAAAAAAAATTTCCAAACACTTCTGTGTTCAACTTGTGAGATCAAAACTTTGTATTTCTACTATTATGATATCACATGCTGCATTAATTGTATCCTCTATGCTCTTTGGGCCATTTTAACTGGATCAGGTTGATCTTGTTTGTTTTGTTCATTTGCAACAAAGTCAAAAGTACATGGTGACTTTTAGAGTTTGTCTAGAACCGGACCTATAGGTCTGGGCTAGCATGTTTTAATATCAAATTTGCAAATTCAGTTCGAAAACTGAACCAGACAGGAAGTAAACTGGTTTTGTAGTGGTTTGCAGAAATTAAACCACCGGTTAACCAAACCAGGCTGAAGTTTATATAAAATTACTTTTATGTGTCTAAATATTAGTGGGCATTCAAGTTCTTACCATGTTATGCATAGTGGGTGATTGCACACACCACAAACCTTCTTTTCCTTCTCCTTTCCTCTGAGCCACCACCATCATTTCTCTCTCTCTCCTCCCATATCAGCATCACCGCAGGTTCTCCACTCTTCTCGTTGTCGCCCGAATCTCGTCGCACCGCTGCCTGATGGAGACACACCAGACATTCTTTAGTTAACCAACCATGATCGGTTCAACCTCTTTGCGGCTCGGCGTTCGTGCCAACATCTTCTCCACCGAAAAAGGTGGCTCAATTGGTTGTTTTGGTCCATAATTGAACCAAACCAACCCACCCACTTCCACCTACAGTCATTGTAATGGTTGATTTCGAAAGTGAAGAAATATCAAACCGGAGTCATCAACTAATTTGAAATATGTCAATTAGATGGTATAAGTCATATCGTCATGCTTAGTTTGTACAATCTTCTATGTGAATCTTTCAATTGTGGAATTATATGTTACTCATTGCAAATTTCAACTCTTCCCATTTTATACCTACTTTTCTTATAGTTTGTGTCATATGTTTTTATCTTAATATCACCTAACGTTTCCATTCTATGCATAGTTGCATGCTATCTCATGATGACATATGCTTGTCATGAAAAATGCAGTGACTGATGTTCTTCTAGATAAGTGCCATTTAGTTTCTTTGGTCATGGAAAATATTTCCTTTTTTCCCTTACTGAAGCCTATATCTGGTGTTGCAGCCAGGAATGGTTACAACTGATCTTCTCATGTCTGGTGCAACTACGAAGCAGGTAGTATAAGTCTCGTATAACTTTTTTCTTAATAATCATCTGTGTATTCCTGATTGATTAATAGAACATGTTGTTCTCCGCAGGCAAAGTTTTTCATTAATGTTTTGGCAGAACCACCTGAAGTGGTAAGACTTCATTCATCATTAATGAATTTGTGATGTATGAATCCTCTATGATGCTTTTGTTTTACGACTGAACGTTTAGTGGTCATTCACAATGAATTTGACTTTTTATGGTCATAAAATACTAAGATTATGATGTATCTGTATGTTGTATGGTTTAAATTAAGTGAAGCTCTTTGGGAAAAATAGCATTTTGTCTCTGGGTACGTATAACGCAGCGGATTTCAAATCCCGTTTGGTCTGAGAGCTAATCTTCCCAAACTAGACACACTCATGCACAATCACATCTATGTTCATGCACGCAAGTAGATACGTATAGGGCGGTATGCGTAAACTGCATCAACTTTTTTCTTCTCTCAATCTCCCCTCGTTCTGAGTTATATATCTTAGTTTCTTTTCTTAAAATCTTATTTGTGTTCTAAATGGCTGTCACAGGTCGCTGAGTACCTGGTTCCGAATATAAGATCGGTCCCTGCCAATGGATCAATGAAGCCTACATACATTCGTTTCCTAACTGGGATAAAAGCCTACTCCCAGATATTTTCAGTTAAGTAAACAAACATAAAAAATAGATAAATAAATAAATGAAAACCCGAACTTCCTAACGTCATTTCTACATATGATCTCATTGTTATAGCATTTTTATCTGTGAATATGTGGTCACCATATTTTTTCCCTTTCACTTTAATCCACAGAGATTTGCTTTTGGAGCAAGAAGAAACAGGTATGTACTTGAAGACTGAATAGCATCCTTAATGTATCTTTTTATCCGACTTTTCAATGTAAATTACCAATTCTGTATAACAATATTTTCAAACATTTTTTGAAGTTTAACATATTTTGGTTAGGTATATGTTTCCTTAGATAAATTGTATTATAGGTAGGTGACTTAACAGCTAAAATTGAAACGATTAACAGTGGGTTGAAGAGGAAGACCTTAACCATCAGGGCAATCCACCACTTACATTAATTGCTCGGTCTAACTAACAGATGACGTTATGTTGGTTTTCCATGAGTTTTTCGATGAGTCAATAGACCCCAAAGTTTGGGAGTTTGATGGAATTCTCAGCCCTAATTTTTAATTTACTGTATGGTGGATAGTTAGCATCTCAACTCAAGAATCTGCGCTCCTCATGCTAGTCTTTTTTTAATGAAACCAATGTCTGTATGGAGTACCTCAATACAAACACTATATGGACGCCAAAAAACAATATGAAGAGACCATACAAGACTTTTTTTTTATTTTATTTTATTTTTATAGAAATGCTGCAGTCATCACATTGTGCATGCAACATCTATATTATTTCTCTAATAGCGGTAGGTCTCAACAATACTGCCAGGTCTCGTCTTTATCTTTATTAGATGAATGATACAAATATGGCACACAAAATATGCAATTTTTCTTTAATGGTAGGTAACATTAAGTGATATGAAAATGAATGATCAAGATTGAAAATAAAAGATTTAACAGTTGTGAAAATTTAATATAACGACTAAAAACTCGTTGCATTGAATGCTATGTAGGATTGAAGCTGAAACCCAAAATGTGACGTGAGTAACTTTTTTAGATGCAAAGAAATTTTATTAAATTTGCGGGCTATTAATTCGCAACTCTTTATTCAAGGTTGTAACCCAATGCGAGATGATGGTTGGAAGAGACACATTGCACCTCTGCAAAGAGATTCTACCAAAGCCTCTTTCATTTATACATATATTTGCTTATACAAAAGCCTCTGGAAACTAAAATTTAAATATTGTGCGATCTTGTCTATTTCTTTGAGCGTTTGTCTTGGAAGGTGCTAAATTTTGACCAAACAATAGGCAGGCCGGGCTTCATTATATACACAAGGCTTATTTGCATATTGCTTTTGCACACTGTATCTGCAGACAAATAGAGTCTTGAAGATGATATATCTATACGTGCCTTGAAGCAATCTTTCATCATTCATCATAATCATAATCCATATGTCTACAAAATTTCACCAATTTGGGATAGTTTCACCGCCACCGTTACATTCCTTTCACTAAACAACGACATGTGTTAGTTGTTCAACATATGACATTATATTATTAAATTAAAACATCACATAGTGCCAAACTCATTTTATGTAAGCAGCTTTGTATTTGAGGAAAGATTTTTCTACCCAGAATCCAATATAATATGTCATATGTTATTATACAAGTAAAAAAGCTTAAAAGAAAAAAATTTTATACACTTTTGTAATAATATATGACGTATCCTGTTCGGGCATGCTGAAAAAACTATCCTATTTGAGCCAACGCAGAAAGCCCAAGAGTCCAACATCTACAGCTCTAGGTTAAAAAAAAAAAAAAGGACTGAAACTGTGTTTTCCCCCGTAGAAGTAGAAGTTCTGTGGCATTCGGCTCTTCCCCTTCGTCGCGGTATCTCACTGTTATTGTCTTAAAAGAACACAAAAGAAACGAAACAATCTGCGAAGTGAATGGTGATGATGCACTGGATTTGGGGTCCCAAGCTTTGTTCCAGAAACGGCGGCGCTATTTGATGAACTGGGTTCCAAGCTTCTTCTCTCCGCCCAAAACAAGCCGTCTGATTTGCCGCGGTCTTCACGCAAGTAAGCATTTCTCACCCCCAAACTCCGACAACATTGTCTTCAAAGCAGTTTGTGTTAATCTTCGACAGAGGAGATGGAAACTCTTAGAGCAGATATCCCCCTCTCTAACCAGTTCATTAGTCAGCCGTGTTGTTCGCGAGTTTCGGAACTCGCCGCAGTTGGCCTTAGAATTTTACAACTGGGTTCGCAGGAACAGGAACTTTCCTCAGTTTTTGGAATCTTCTTGTACTGTAATTCATGTTTTGATCGATTCTAGGAGGTACGATGATGCCTTGTCTCTTATGGAGAGTCTAATGGGGGCAGAGGGTTTGCCCCCATTGGATGTTTTGGAAGGGTTGATTACTAGTTGTGGTTGTTCAAGCCCTGCAGTGTTTGATGCGTTTGTGAGGGCTTGTACTCGGTTCGGGGACTCCGAGGGTGCTTATGAGGTGATCAAGAAGCTGAGATTGGATGGTTACTGGGTTTCGATTCATGCTTGGAATAACTTTCTTAACCATGTGATTAAGTTGAACGAGTTTGATAGGTTTTGGAAGATGTATAAGGAAATGCTTTCATATGGGTATGTTGAAAATGTTAATACCTTCAATTTGGTTATTTATGCTCTTTGTAAGGAATGCAAGTTACTAGAAGCAATATCAGCATATTATCGGATGTTGAAGAGTGGAGTTTGGCCTAGTGTTGTTACTTTTAACATGATTATAGATGGAGCATGCAGGATGGGTGATATGGAACTTGCTTTGAAGGTTTTGAGAAAGATGGGGCTAATGTCGGAGGACTGTGTTACGCCCAATTCAGTTACTTACAATTGTATCATCAATGGGTTTTGCAAAATTGGTGGTTTATCGGTTGCAGAAGAAATCCGTGCTGAAATGACCGAGGTAGGTGTTCCGTTCAATTTGAGGACTTATGCAACTCTAGTAGATGGATATGCAAAACGGGGGAGTTTGGAGGTGGCACTTCGATTGTGCGATGAAATGGTGGAAAGGGGTTTGACACCTAATCCTGTTGTTTACAATTCAATTATCCATCGGCTTTGCATAGAAGGAGATACTGAGGAAGCTTTTTCCTTGTTGTCTGACATGATTGAGAGGAATATATGCCCTGATCAATTCACCTATTCAATCCTCATCAAGGGGCTCTCTAGAAATGGGCTTGCGACAGAAGCAATTAGATTTCATAGACACATCCTTGAGAAGAACCTCGTCAAGGATGTTTTCTCCCACAATATCCTGATCGATTATCTGTGCAAAAGCAAAAATTTGAGAGCGGCCAAGCAATTGATGGGCAGCATGTTTGTTCGTGGTTTACTTCCTGACACCATCACCTATGGCACTTTGATTGATTGCCACTTCAAAGAAGGGAACATAGGAAGTGCAGTTCAGATTTATGAAAAACTGATAGTGGGGAAGGAAAAACCTAATTTGGTGATATACAATTCTGTTATTAACGGGTTATGCAAAGAGGCATCAGTGGATATTGCAAAACTTTTGATGGATTCGTTACAGAGGATGGATGTTCTTGACATTATAACCTATAACACAATTATAAACGGGTATTTCATCAGTGGGATGATCGATCAGGCGTTTGTTTTGCTTCGGGAAATGGAAAAGGTTGGAATTTCATTGAATATAGTCACCTACAATATATTGATCAACTTTTTGTGCAAGTTTGGGTGTATTCAACAAGCAAAAGAACTTATGAAGGTAATGATTTCAAGGGGTGTGGTTCCTGATTTTATAACATACACCACACTCATTACCAATTTGAGTAAGAATTGCAGCCCCGAAGAAGTCATTGCATTGCATGACTACATGGTAATTGAGGGAGTAATTCCTGATAGGCAAACGTACAAAGATATTATCTGTCCATATCTTCCAGAAGAAAATTCAAAGATTAGCACAGTGCGTTGAGTTCAACAGTACAGCAAGTTGTATATTTGTTCTCCGTCATCTAGTATCGTTTGTGTTTTAGGCAACTTTGGGCATAGAGAATGTGCTGGACTTTCTAAAGTAACAAGAATCACACATATTCAACGTTGTTTATGTCAGGCATGGAAGTTATCTTTTCTAATACATCAATTTTTCATATGCTACTCGTCTGCTGACTACATCCATATAGATAACAAACGGTAACCCTTAACATATGAATCCATGCACATAAGTTGTTTGTTCAAACTTGTATGCAATCACTGATCAGTTGTCATCCTTTGGCTGATATTCCATAGCAATTTATTACTAGGTGGCCACTGGAAACTTGTAGGCTTAGATATTCTGGTTGTGTACTCATTAGTGAAAATTTGGGGGTTATTTCTTTTGAGACGTGCAAAAATTCATCTCATCTGGATGTTTCTGTTTCCTTTGTGCTGCTGAGATTTTTTTAATTTTCTTTTGATTTTTTGTCCACAGCGATGTGAGGGTTTGAAAGCAATAATCTGATGGTTTCAAGGGATGGGATGATTGTGAATTTTCTCGTTGTGTTAGCAGTTCAATTTTTATGTTGCTCAACCTTCAAAATGCGTTAACATTGGAAATCTCTTGCTACTTAAAGAATTATGCTAGTTTTAATAGAGTACTTTAATCTTTCCTAACGAAGAAGTAGATGACATGTCTTGTAGCTCAGGTGATTAAGATCATTTACTCATGCATTTGAGGTCCTTTGTTCAATACCGGTCACCCCCACTTTTCTCCTGCCATAAAGTGTTTTTGTATTCTCTTCGATGAGTTCAAGTTACAAGATTAGATTTGAGCATTCATTCTATTTATTTTGCCTTTTATAAATATAAAAGAAACAAGTGGTATACAATAATTCAGAGGCCTTAGCTTTTGTATTCTTGTATGTACTTTGACGAACACGTCACATATGGTTTTTGGGTGGACCTAGTTTAGTTAGAAAAAAAAAAAATGAAAGCATTCAGCTTTACTTACTGAAGGCATGTATTCAAGAGGACTGAAGGTGATGAAGTGCAAGATATACAGATTACTGAAGGCAAAAAATACAGGCTCCGGAATTGGTAATACAGATTACAGACAGATCACTAGTTATTAGTGTTGCTGGTTCTGTTACCAGGTAAATGTCTGAAACCCTCATTTGATTCCGCCGAATTGAGTTCATATTCCATTGTACTCTTGTTCTGGATTTGTAGATTGATTAAAATAGAATTTCGATGTTGTTTATTAGTATTGTTGTAGTTTCATCTCAGCTAATTGTTTTTGTTAATTAAGTGAATGAAGGATATTTTTTTTATTGCTTCTGTCATTGTTACTTCCGTAAATGTTATCTTATGCTCTATTTGGATTAACGTTGTGATTGTGAACTGTGAAGCTTTAAAGATTATAATTAGCGTGAAGTACTGAAAATTTTGTTATGGCCTTTGGCATTTATCACGATTCTTATGGGTACGTTAACTGCGACGAGCTTTACTCGTTGTAAGGACGAAGGGCCAGTTTGGGATTGATGTACCCTAAACTGTAGAATGCTTATCCACTCGTTGCGAGTCTTGGTTTAAACCTCTGGTGAATGGCATTTTGTTTATGCAGGTGCTTGTTTGGAAAGAGATGCCTGCTCTCTCTCTCTCTCTCTCTCTCTCTCTCTCTCTCTCTCTCTCTCTCTCTATATATATATATATATATACAAGTTCCATGCTAGTTTGATTGGGAGGCCAACAAGATCGCGGCCCATCCAATTTGGCTGCCGCCACCAAATGAACCACCAGGTCTTAGAACAAAGGTCGCCACCAAATGATCTGCTTCATTACACTGACGAGGAGCATAGGAGAATTCGTCAAGCTCCAATTGAAGAACTAAAACATAAATATGTAGATAAAAAAGGGTTTTTTTTTATTGGCACCTCACAAATTATTGACTACACTTTAAATTTTTACTTCTAAATGCAACCTATGAATTCAATGTGATAAACTTAAAATTATGCTTGAAATGTATTATGTTTTTCTTCTGTATCGCGGTTGAAGAAACACAGTAAAAGCACTAAACATGTTGATGTTTCTCGAAGAATTAGGATGACGTTTTCTCATTTCTTCCGCGAAACCACCAAGAAATATATGGTATACTTTTGTTTGTAATGAACTAGTGCAAACTAATCAATAGATGATCATCTCTTGATGGAAACCTAGAACCCCAGATCGACATATGCCTAAAGTGTGGGGTATGAGGGTTTTTTGGGAAGTTAAAATGCGCGTATTAAAATATTTTCTCTTTCTAAAAGTAAATGCAGACTGTTTTATAAAAGTAAATATTTTCTCTTTTTAAAAGTAAATGTCTTTTAATACTATAAGTCTTTGAAGGTCATTTTATACAAATATAAATTTGTCAATAAAAGTATTATTTTAAAATGGATGAAGTGATAAGACATTGGAGTAAGCTTAATAGCATTTTAAAATATTTTCTTCTTTTTAAAAATAAATACAGAATGTTTTCAGTACGTAAAGTGTGGTTAATAATTTGTGAGGTGTCACTAAAACGAACAAAAGAAAAGTTACGTGTGCGCTAAGTAGGTGTATTGATTTAATCACCACAAACATAATTAGCTTCATAATTTTTGACATCAATCAGTGTTTAGATTTCTCAGCCACTGTGATTACAAATAAATAATGCAGTGAATGTTCATAGGCTCACCCGTGAATGCAAGATGTGAGATTTGTCTGCCTAAATAACAAAAATGTTTGTTTGCGTTTGGCCACTATAAAAACGACTCTTAATTTGCTGTCTAGAAAACGACTGATTTGAACTATATAGTGTATATCGGCATCACGAATTATTTTTCTTTTTGGGCAGTGGTCTTCATATTTCCCATAAAAAGGAAACATAGTGAACATCTCTTTCTTAATAATTTATCTTTGAAAACTACTTTGTCGTTTGTCTTTTAATTTGACGGAAGACCTGGCAATATGAGCACAATTTAAACTTTTGCAGAAATTACATATTGTTCAAAAATACTCAAAACTACATATAGTTTTATTTAATTTTAAATTAATTTAAACGGCGCGAGGCAAATTTCAGCTCGGATGCCTAAAGAGAAACACATCGTTCCTAGTTGATGCAACGGAGTATATAACAAAGAAAATCGAACGAAATCCCAATACTAGAATCCACTAGAAAAGTTGAGCAGGCACAAGTTTATTGAATAATAGTTGAGAGATGGCATTCACAACACCCAAGAGGTGTATTTATAGGCCTAATACTTAAACCCAAACCCTAGTTGGATTAAAGTTCAAAAAGGAAATTAAATAAACAATTAATGAAATATAAAAAATATCCTCAAAACTTTATAACGCATTTTTGGGATGATAAACGAAGATATGTGACCAAATTTGCCCTTATGTCGCAAATAAAGCTGGTAAGAAAAAATTTATGTGCCGTTCACATCAAAACAACAAACCATACGCTTGATTCCAACGCCGAGGCCCGAATCTGCAATCCTTGGTATTGTTTGCGCTTCTCGAGTTGCTCTTGAAATATAAATAAAAAGAAAATTAATGGAAGAAGTTTGAAAATTTTAAATTTTAGCGATAAAATAAAATAAAAAGTAAAATGAATAATACTAGTATTGACTTTTTAGTGTAAAAATATGATTTTTTTGTTAAAATAAATAGTACTAGAAGTTTTTCTTTAAAGTTCCTATAAAAAAACCTAAATTTTCATTTTGGGTTTTATTTTTGTGAATTGTTATTAGCACTCTAAAAATCTCATTCTACACTCTGAACTTTCTATATTAGAAAAGAAAAATACACTTGTGAAGAGTGTAGAATGAGATTTTTGAAGTGCAAATAACATTTCCCTTAGTTTTTTGTTAAATTGAAAATGTAATGATCAAAATAGGGCAACACTTCAAATTTGTTGATAAAGACAAACGAGTTCGGATCTTTTTTGTGAGGATCTCGAAGGTCGGTGAATCGTGTTCGTTCATTGTATATTGTGTGGTCATAAATTATTTTAAATATTTTTATTTAAAAATAAACGTAAACATTACTTGATAAAAATTGATCGTACGATATATGATGAACAGATACTACGATTCTATTGGAAGACAAACATAGTCAAAAGTTCCCATTGGCATGACGTGCCAGTTTTCTACGTGAAGACAAATGCACATGTGACACTTCATATTATCATGTGCATTTGCCCTGTCCCACACATTCACACCATTCCATTATCCATAGACTTCTGAGGAATTATTGATCTACTCAATTTCTGAAACATGACGTATATTCCATGCAGCGCATTCATTAATCAATAATACTTGCGTCCTGCAAATGTTTTTTCTTTTTTTCTTTTTAATTTTTAATTCTTTTTAAGAAAACTAATGAGAAAAATTTTAAATTTTAACGATAAGATCAAAATAAAGGATAAAGTGAATAATATCATGATTAACTTTTTAGTGTAAAAATATGATTTTTCATTAAAATGAATAATATCGGAAGTTTTTCGTTAAAGTTTTTTTTTTTTTTAATGAATGTTCTACTTCTGAAAAACGTATCATTAACATATAGATTCATAATTAGAATTGTTTAATATCTTAATATTTATTCGAATATCGTATAAACAAAAAATTAATTGTTTATATATTTAAAAATATATAATAAATCGACGGTATGAGAACTAGGTAACATATTTACGATAAATCGTTTATTTATTTTATACATTTGAATGATTAAATAATAAACAATTCGAATAATTGTTTTTGTATGAATAGTCTTCAAATGAAAATTATAAAATCAAACAATTTCTATTATAGAACTTAGAGTAAAAATACGTTATTGGCAAATAATAAGATATGTGCATTCACAGGAGCGCAAGTACCATCATTGAATAATTGCTTATCTACTTCACGTCAAGTGAAGTGGATGGACCACCGACAATTACTACGCTTTCAGTACTTAACGCATTGTTTGGCTTCTGTTCCTCTTATCCATCTTCCTCTCACTGCTGGCTACCCATTTTGTCACTTCACTTTTAACCGTTTACATTACGTATTGAGGTACTTTTACATTTTTTAATAATTCTCACAGTACTCTCAAATTTTGCCAACATCGTACTTTACTACAATTATTTGTTTTTAGTATGAAGTGTCAATTTAGTCTTTAAATTATCATTTTAGTAAAAATTAATCTTTAAATTATTATTATTTTTTGGTAAAATAAGTCTATAAATTCATTAAAATTGTTAATTTCATCCCTACTATTATATTCAAAGTTATTTTATTCACCTTTTTGTTAACTTAAGTCACTTGACACACTTTAGAGTGTAATACCGTCATTTTCTCGCCAATAAGCCTTTAACATTTCATATAGGTTGCGAATCTAATGTTTAATTTTAATTTACCCTTTAAAGTTAGCTCCATACACTATTCCTTTATATAAAATTACCAATCTACCGTTCAATGTGTATCATATGCAAGTGACGTGATTTAAATTAACAGAAAATTAAATATAATAGCTTCAAATATAATATTAATGATGTAATTGGCATATTTGTTTAATTCAAGGACTAATTTTTCTGAAAAAATAGTTTAGGAATGTAATTTTCACTCAGGTGATAATTCAATGACTAAATTAAAAGTTCATCCTTATTTTTAGGAAACTTTAACGAAAAGTTCTCGGTACTGTTCACTTTAACGAAAAGTCACATTTTTACACTAAAAAATAAATCATAATACTATTCACTTTACCATTTATTTTATCATTATCGTTAAAACTCAAAATTTTCAAATTATTTCCATTATTTTCTTTTATTTTTACATATGAAATTCATAAGTGGAAGAGAGTGGCGTTGCCTGTAAACTTATCATGTGATCGAATGGTTTAGAGTTCTTGTGGAAAAAGGAAACCTATGTTTTGAGGCCTACAAGGTGGAAGTCTTTATAAAGACGCAATGTAAATTGTGTAATAACTAATATTTTTGCATAAATATCACACAAATTAGAAAGTAGTTGAATTCAAACTTTAATAAGCGAAAGATTTATAGGTTGAGCTAATTAATAATAGTTCCTATAAGTATTGTCCCGTACACGTTAAATAATTTTTTTACTTTTTAATGTGTACGGGACAACACTCCTCATCGTCAAAATAAACAAAGGTATCCTCTGGATTCAAGTTCGAAGATTAGATTAGAAAATGAATGAAATAGGAAATGATCAGGTTATTAGTTTGATACAACTGAACATGTGATTGGTTGATAGCAAAATCCAGCTAGAAGATGAATTGAAGAAGGAAAATTTTGTAGAAGTGAAGCCTTTTGGGTTTCTGCAACTCACTCAACTACTCAGTTAAGTTTAACAATGGCGAACTCACATCTTCTTCTTCTTCTGTTGATATCCTCCCTCTTCTCCGTCCACCACTCAGGTGCTGCTACTGAGTCGGAGTCTGAGAGCCTTCTGAAAATCCAGCAGCTCCTCAACTACCCACCACCTCTAAACCTAGTCAGTTCCAAGGACGGACACTCTTTGTGCAGCATTGAACCAACTCCTTCGCTCACTCTCTCTTGCTACCAAGGCAACGTTACCCAGCTCCACATTTCAGGCGGCGGAGCTGCCTTCCCTCCGCTGCCGCGTGACTTCTCAACCCACTCTCTCTTCTCCGCTCTCGCCTCCGCCTTCCCAACCCTCAAAGTCCTATCTCTGGTCTCTCTCCGCCTCTGGGGCCCACTCCCTCCCTCCATCGCCGGTTTATCTTCCCTCGAGATTCTCAACCTCACCTCCAACTACCTCAGCGGCGCCATCCCTCCCCACATTTCCTCCCTTGTCAACCTCCAGACTCTCATCCTCGACCGCAACAACTTCACCGGCCGACTCCCGCCGTCGCTGGCTTCGCTTCGGTCGTTGGCCGTTCTCAGTTTGAACCACAACCTCCTCAACGGCTTTCTCCCGCGTTCTCTGGCATCTCTGCAAACCCTCAGAGTCCTCTCTCTCTCCCACAACTTCCTGGCCGGCGAAGTTCCTGACCTCAAAAGCCTCACAAACTTGCAATTTCTTGATTTGGAAGCTAACTATTTCGGGCCTCGTTTTCCAAGCTTGCGTTCCAAGAACAAGCTGGTAACCCTTGTGCTCCGAAACAACAAGTTTCGCCTTGGAATCCAGACCGGATTCCGAGGCGGTTTTCAGCTCCAGAGGCTTGACATTTCACTCAATCAATTCGTGGGGCCTTTTTCGCCTTCATGGCTGTCGTTGCCTTCCATCAATTATCTTGACATTGCCGGAAATAAATTCACCGGAGTGCTCTCCAAGAACATGTCTTGCAATGCTGAGCTTGCTTTTGTGAATTTGTCCTCAAATCTTTTGGCAGGGGACTTGCCCACTTGCCTCAAAAACCGGGGTTCGAAGAGCAGCAGTGTGGTTGTTCTCTATTCCGGGAATTGTTTGACGAATGTGGACCAGAAGCAGCAGCAGCATCCTTCTACCTTGTGCCACCATGAAGCTCTGGCGGTGGAGATACCGCCTCCGGGTGACGAAAGGCGCAAGAGGCTTCATGATATTAAACAAGTCGTTGCATCAAAAGCCCTGGCAGGCATTGTGGGTGCCGCTGCAATTGTTGCTCTGGCTTTCATGGCTGTTAAGTGGTTATACGGCGAACAGCTGCCTGTTAAAAGTCCCAGAACACGGTTGATTAGAGATTCAGCTTCAACAGTCAACACAGCCAAGCTACTCTCGGATGCAAGTAATTTTGATATTTCTTTCCTTTTCATTCTCTGTAAATTAGGATCACGAGAATCACTCACCATCACATTCCTTTATACATAATTACAGTAGGAGAGTCCTTTATTTGCAGAATATATATCAGAAACAATGAAGCTGGGAGCCAGCGTTCCTGCTTATCGAACATTTTCTTTGGAGGAGCTCAAGGAAGCTACGAATGACTTTGATGATTCAACATTACTTGGTGAAGGCAAACATGGACAGGTATTCAACATTACTTACTGATAGCGATACGATGTTCTCTCAATTTGCAAGTTGCCATAGTTCAGAACCGTTGAAATACAATAACACATAACATTTGAATTGTAAAATCTCTCTGTTGTAGCTAATTGTCCTGTGGACTTTTATTTCAGGGAAATACTTAAAAGTTCTCAGCATACTCTGGCAATTATAATATGAATGTCTTAGTCTTTATGATCTAGTGAAATGCAAATTTGTCACTCTAAAATGTTTGTTGTTTTGTAACAACAACGGCAGATGTATAGAGGGAAGCTCACCAATGGAACACTTGTTGCTATCAGAGGCTTGAAAATGAGAAAGAGGCAGGCTCCACAAGTCTACACGCACCACCTTGAGCTGATTTCAAAACTGAGACATAGCCATTTGGTTAGTGCTCTTGGACATTGCTTGGAGTACCATCCCGATGATTCAGGGGTCGGCAGAATATTTCTTGTATTTGAGTTTGTTCCAAATGGAACTCTAAGAGGCTGCATTTCTGGTAAAGTTGCTTTTCATGTACATATACTGCTTTTTATAAGATTGATATGTTTTGTTAATTTACATTCTGATAAGCTAAGTTGTTTTATATACATCTTACATACACACACACAATAAACTAATGTTGTAAAGATGGCGTGCTTGCTGTCCATGCTGCAACACATCAGAGCACATGAGCTGTGAGCTGTACCATGTGCTAATCTGCTGTCAGGGAATGTTGCAGTGCTTGCTGTCCATAATCTGCTGTCAGGGAATGTTGCAGTGCTTGCTGTCCAGGTTGTATTCCACTTGTGCAGTTGATGTGGGAGATTCCTTAACACGCCCCCGCAAGACGGTGGCACCATCGGAGACACCGATCTTGGAACGAAGGAGATGGAAACGTGGACGTGACAAGGGTTTGGTCAGAGCGTCTGCAAGCTGATCAGTAGTGGAGACATGAGAGACTTGAAGAAGACCATGAGTGACACGATCCCGTACAAACTGAAAATCAATATCGATATGCTTCATACGGGAATGGAGAACAGGATTAGCACAATAGAACATGGCTCCAATGTTATCACAAGAAACAGCCGGTGTTGTGGGGAGAGAAATGCCAAGTTCACGCAGTAAGGACTGAATCCATATGAGTTCAGCAGTGGTGGCAGCAATGGCCCGATATTCGGCTTCGGTAGAGGAGCGAGAGACAGAGCGCTGCTTTCGGGAGCTCCAAGAGATGAGATTGCCACCGAGATAGACAACATAGCCAGTCGTAGATTTGCGATCATCACGATCACCAGCCCAGTCAGCATCGGAAAAGGCATAGAGACGATGAGAGGGGCGACGACAAAGATGAAGGCCAAAGGAAAGGGTACCCTTCAAGTAGCGGAGAAGACGCTTGAGCGCCTGCCAGTGAGTCTCGGAAGGAGAATGCATGAATTGAGAGAGCTTATTGACTGTGAAGGAGATGTCAGGGCGTGTAAGGCTGAGGTATTGAAGTCCACCAACAAGACGACGGTAGGGAGTGGGATCCGTTGGGGATGAGCCATCATGGAGCATGAGTGAGTGAGTGGTGGAGAGAGGCGTACTGACAGCCTTTGCACCATCCATCTTGGCATTAACAAGAAGATCATGAATGTACTTGTGCTGAGAGAGAAATAGGCCAGTGGCTGTGGGAAGGACTTCAACACCAAGAAAGTAATGTAGGGAGCCCAGGTCTTTGACGGAGAACCGAGTTGCCAACAGGTGAATGAACTTTGCTACAAGTGAGGAATCGTTTCCTGTAATAAGAAGATCATCAACATAAACCAAAAAATAAATTACAGCAGTCCCATTTTTGAAGAGAAAGAGTGAGGCATCAGAGATGGCATTGACAAAGCCATGGGAGAGCAGAAATGAGTGTAATTCCTTGTACCATGCCCGGGGAGCCTGTTTGAGGCCATAGAGGGCTTTTCTCAATTTACACACATGAGATGGATGATTAGAGTCAACAAAACCAGGTGGTTGGACCATATAGACATTTTCACGGAGTGTGCCATGAAGGAAAGCATTGTTGACGTCCAACTGACGAATTGGCCATTCATTAGTCACGGCAAGATGCAAAACAATGCGTATGGTAGTAGGTTTGATCACCGGACTGAAAGTATCTGAAAAATCAACACCAGGACGTTGGTGAAAACCCTTGGCAACTAAGCGTGCCTTGTACCTGTCAATAGTGCCATCAGGATGCTGTTTGATACGAAACACCCACTTACAACCAATAAGATTTTGAGAGGGAAGGGAAGGAACGAGCTCCCATGTACCATTGCGAATTAACGCATTGAACTCATTGGACATTGCTTGTCGCCAAAGGGGATCCTTGACAGCCTGAGAGACACATGTCGGTTCAACTGAGGAGAGAATGGGATGTTTAGTAGCAATCATAGCATACCGAGGATTGGGTTTGTGGATACCGGCTTTGGCACGGGTGATCATGGAATGATTGGGGAGCACAGGAGGTACGGGGGGGTTGGGGAAGGTTGGGTTAGAGGATGGAAAGGTGACAACAGTCCTATGAGGGTTTCTAGTGTATGTACGAACGGGGTTGTTGGGAGAAGGTTGCTGAACGTGATCAGGTTGGGTTGAAGAATGTGGTGGGGTGAATATAGGTGCGGTAGAGGTAGGGACCAATGCTTGGCGATTGGGTGACGGTAAGAGAGAAGGGATAGCAGCAGCAATAGGGATCGGGGCAGCGGATGGTGACGGTTCTGAGACAGGGACAGATTCTGATGATGATAATGTTGTGACGTGTGATGGCAGTGAAGAAGAAACAACCGACTCAACAGGCCTGGTGGGTAAGTGGACAGGAACATGAGAAACTGGAGAAAGAGAAGAGACCCAAGTGTGAGAGTTATCAACCGTGACATGGGGAGTGGAGGAAGGAAGGTTAGCAAGAGGAAAAGTGGACTCATCGAATTGAACATGCCGAGAGATAAAAAGTTTGTGGGAGGAAAGATCAAGACAATGAAACGCACTTTGATTGGATGAGTAACCAAGGAAGAGACATGGGCGGGAACGAGGGAGTAATTTATTGGAATTGTAAGGACGTAACCAAGGAAAACACAAGCACCCAAATGTACGAAGACGGGAGTAGTTGGGTTGTTCATCAAAGAGTTGAGTGAATGGGGAGAGATTATTAAGAATCGGAGTGGGCATACGGTTGATAAGATAGGTAGCTGTTTTAAAGGCATAAGACCAATAGGTGAGAGGTAAAGAAGCTTGATGAAGAAGTGTGAGACCAGTTTCAACAATATGACGATGTCGTCGTTCGGCGACTCCATTGTGTTGAGGAGTGTGAGGTGGTGTAAGGAGATGGGTGATGCCATTGGATGAGAGAAAATGTTGGAGTTTGATAAATTCGCCCCCACCATCAGTGTATAACCTAGTGATTTTTCTTTTGAAGTAATTTTCAACAAGTGCTTTGAAGGTGACAAAAGTGGAAAACACATCAGATTTCTTTTTGAGAGGGTAGAGCCATATATATTTTGTAAAATGATCAACAAAGATAACATAGTAAGAAAAACCATCAATTGAAGAGTATGGAGCAGGGCCCCAAACATCACTGTAAATGAGGTCTAATGCACCATGACTGGTGAGAGACGAAGTACCAAACGGGAGACGATGGCTTTTATTACATAGACATGAATGACAAACAGACTTGAACAACTTGGAGGACACATTAATGGAAGACATACGAAGGACTTGTTGGAGAGTTTGATGGCTGGGGTGACCAAGACGACGATGCCAGAGGTTGGGAGAGACCACCACACCCACCATGGCCTGTGGTTGATGAAATGTTTTAGGAGACCACTCGTACACATCATCCTTATTCGGGCCTCGAAGAAGAACCGCCCCCGTGCTCAGATCCTTGACATGGAAGAAATCAGGAAAAAGTTCAATAGAGGTATTATTTTGTTTATTAAATTTAGAGATAGAAATAATGTCTTTTTTCATAGAAGGAACACATAGAACGTTTGATAAGCTAAAGGATTGGGAGGATGAGGAGGGTAAAGTGGTTGAACCGACATGTGTGATACCCAAACCTGAACCATTACCAATAATTATTTCATCAGGACCATCATATATGGCTGTACCAGAGAGAGTGTTGACATTGGAGGTAACATGGTGAGAGGCACCAGAATCAAGCAACCATGTTGGAGAAGAGGTGGACCGGCCATGGGTGGTAGGATTGGCCACGAGCGGACTGGAAGGTCCAGATTGGAGTTGAGGGCAGCGTTTGGCACTATGACCTTGAGTGCCACACCATTGACAGAAACCACGATAACCTGTGTTGTTCATGTTGGTAGAGCGGCGACCATTGTCGGTGAAGGATTGTTGGATGGGCTTGTAGGAACCACGAGAATTGGTAGTAATGGAAGATGTGTGGGGGTGCTCAAAGGAACTACGAGAAGGATTGCGGGATAGAAAGGACCCACGGTTGGAGTTGGAGTGGTGAGAGCGGAAGCCACGATTTGAGGTGTGGAAGCGAGATGTCTGAGTGACATTGGCAGTGATCACTGGGGGTACAACAATGGTATCATCGCGCTTGAGAGCAGCTTCATGTTCAACCAGTTTGTCATGCAGGTTTTCAAAAGAGATTGAGGTGTCTCGGGAACGAACTACCGCAGCAATTTCCTTGAAGTCCGAGCCAACACCATTAAGAATGTAGAGGAGGAGATCATCATCAGAGAGGGGGACATCAATGATGGCAAGCTCGTCTGCAATAATGCGGACTTCTTGTAGATACTCAGAGACTGGCTTGTTCTCACGACGTAGGAGAGTAAGGCGTTCTTTGAGACCAAGAACGCGGGCACGGGCTTTGCTAGCAAAGAGATGAAGAAGCTTGTCCCAAGCCTCCTTGGATGTCTTGGCAGAGGCAATAAGGGAGATGACCTGCGGGGAGACGGAAGCAAGAATAGCATGAAGGAGGAGTTGATCTTGCCGAATCCAAAAGGTGCGAAGCACGGTTTGAGTGGTTGATGGGCAGAGATGAGAACCATCCACATAACCCATGAGGTCGTAGCCGTAAAGAAGGGCGTTGAACTGAGCACGCCAGGATGGGTAATTGGTGGGTGTGAGTTTCACAGGTAATTGGGCTGTAGCATTTATGGTGATCAAGGTGGGAGTAGTGCAGTTGAGGTCTGGTAGAAGGTTGGTTGCAGCGGCATCAGTGGCCATGAATGAAGACAGGAAAGAGAGGAAAAAAAAATGCTCGTTGGAGTTTTTAGGCTCGTGATACCATATAAGATTGATATGTTTTGTTAATTTACATTCTGATAAGCTAAGTTGTTTTATATACATCTTACATACACACACACAATAAACTAATGTTGTAAAGATGGCGTGCTTGCTGTCCATGCTGCAACACATCAGAGCACATGAGCTGTGAGCTGTACCATGTGCTAATCTGCTGTCAGGGAATGTTGCAGTGCTTGCTGTCCATAATCTGCTGTCAGGGAATGTTGCAGTGCTTGCTGTCCAGGTTGTATTCCACTTGTGCAGTTGATGTGGGAGATTCCTTAACACTTTTCAGGATTAATGGTTGCATTTTCAGTTGCGTAACTCTGAATCATTCTTCTGTTAATTGTAGAAAGGGATTTCAGATTATGATGATATCCCGTATTCTATACGTAATTCATGTGAAACCAAGAAAAAAAAATCAGTCATGATTTAAATTAAAGTATAATATCTAATGCATGAAATGCCGATGACGTGTTATCAGTATCTTTTAGCAGAAGGTTTCTAGGTGAGACCTATTTAATTGCTCAACATTGCATACATATATGTGGCAATGGACAGTCATCTATTACTCTTTACTGATTTCTTCGTCTTCTTTGATTGCTTCTGTTTGTAACATCTTTGCATTGGGAGAAACTGGATATTCACGTCTAACACTTAGTTTGGCAGAAGGACCTCCAGGACGAAAGCTTACTTGGGCGCAGAGAATAGTAGCTGCAATTGGAGTTGCAAAGGGTATTCAGTTTCTGCATACAGGGATTGTTCCTGGTGTAAAATCAAATAATCTCAAGATAACAAATGTCTTATTGGATCACGATCTTCATGTGAAAATAAGCAGTTATAACCTACCTCTTTTAGCTGAAAACAACAGGGGAACGGTAAGACCTACAAAAATATACTGCTTTGGTGAGTTAAAATACCCCTCGACATTGTCCTCCGAGTTAACTTTTTCTTTTTAATCCAACAGGTGGGTACTACAGTTTCTTCCCCTGCACCGAAAGGAAGCATTCAAACTAGGTATTAGCATGTCTACTTTCCAAAGTTATATAGAAATCACATATTAAACGCGTACGAGCTAGGCCAATAAATTCAGTTATTTGGTGCAGAGTCTAGACAAATACTTGAAGCTCTCCTCCACAAAATTTTAAATTACGCTTTCTGCAAAGCTTCATTTTTGAGTTATATAAGGAATTCACCTTGAGTTGCTTCATGTTAATCATCATATAAGTGTTGAGAGTTGTCCCACATTGGCGAGGGACAAGGTTTGCTATGTGCTTATATGATCTTGGGCTACTCCCCATATTGCGAATTGGTTTTATGGTGGAACCTCAATTTCATCATGGTATCAAAGCGGGTTGTCCTCGTGTGAAGCCAGTCACACGCGCTCCACGTCACCCAGTTGTTGTCCACGTGTAGGCTTAAAAATCCGCCACACGTGCAGGGGGTGTGTTGAGAGTTGTCCCACATCGATGAGGGACAAGGTTTGCTATGTGCTTATATGATCTTGGGCTACTCCTCATATTGCCAACCAGTTGTTGTCCACGTGTAGGCTTAAAAATCCGCCACACGTGCAGGGGGTGTGTTGAGAGTTGTCCCACATCGATGAGGGACAAGGTTTGCTATGTACTTATATGATCTTGGGCTACTCCCCATATTGCCAACCAGTTGTTGTCCACGTGTAGGCTTAAAAATCCGCCACACGTGCAGGGGGTGTGTTGAGAGTTGTCCCACATCGATGAGGGACAAGGTTTGCTATGTACTTATATGATCTTGGGCTACTCCCCGTATTGCCAATTGGTTTTATGGTGAAACCTCAATTTCATCAATCAGTACCTGTCTGGTTCAGTTACTGATCATCATTAGTAACAATGACACCATTCTAAACGAAGTTCCTCATCTTAGTCTCCCTCTAGCTTCACAGAAATGCATTAATAATCCCGCCTTTTGTCTAATGTGTTGCTTCGGTATCTCATTAAATCCTTATAAGCTCTTTTATTTTGTGTATTTAGTCATAGTTTCATCAGCATTACCCGACACGGTTACTCTTTTAGTATAGAAGATAAATCCAATTGAAATAAGTGCAAACCTCTTTATTTGTATGCTTGTATTACATTCATTTTGCATACAAATGAATGTAATACACGTGCACACATACTGGATGATTTTGTTACTTACTCCCTTTTGCAGGGTTAACCATGAGTGTAAGAATGACGTTTATGATATTGGAGTAATCTTGCTAGAAATCATTTTGGGGAGGCCTATCATGTTCCAAAATGAAGTTGGTGTTTTGAAAGACCTTGTGAGTGTTTTCTCTTCAATCAATTTGTTCTTTCTTTTACGCTCAAACTCTTTGAAATCATCCTGATTGAACCAACAAATATTGCTTTCTCCAGCTAAACCAGAAATTCTGTTTTGGTTGTTTCTTACGCAGTTACAAGTAAGTTTGAACACTGATGACACAGCTCGAAGGAGCATTGTGGATCCAGCAGTGCACAAGGAATGCTCGGATGAATCGCTGAAGACAATGATGGAGATATGTGTGAGATGTCTTTCCGATGAGGTAGCTGATAGGCCTTCAGTCGAAGACATTCTTTGGAATTTGCAGTTTGCAGCGCAGGTTCAGGATTCAGCGAAAGATGAACTTTTTGAGTAGTAATCAGGGCTCGCCCATTTCATCACCCCAACTCCAGCTAATCTGACCTTCATCTTCCTCCTATGTTTTCATCAGTTAGGGAACACTGTTTGTAATGCACCATACCAAATGGCAAATGTATGAGCTCTGTAAACCCTTAATGTTAGTATTATGTTATTATGTCCTTGTAATTAGGTGTAACTTTTTATAAAACTCCCCCTCGTACTGTCAATTTTTTTAAAATGTATTTTTCTCTCATGAGCTCCAGGATCCTGGTATCCCAATAAAGAAAAAATTATAGTGCGTGAGATGACTACTTAATGGTAGAAATTATAACAATTCTGCAGTCTGCACTGATTCCATTTCTAATATTGCAATTGGAGATGGATAAATGTCATGCTTGTTGAAATTGACCACTGCTAAATGTGGGACCATGCTCGAGTTTGTGCCTCCACATCTGCAGAAGTGTGCAAATTTGATTCCAACACTCAACATATGATAAAGGATGAAAATTTCTACCTAAACATCTATATGTATGCATATCCTTTTTCAAGACTCCGATACCGATAGTAAGAGTGAAGTAATTTTCTTCCCTCGTATCTCTAAGATTTCCGTGATATCAGCGCGTTTTATTTATTTTAGCAGAGCGTGAATACTTGATTTCGAACCATATTAAAGGAAAAAAAGAGGAAGACGTGCCAATCAGTAGGCCCGAAAAGGAGACTGGCCCGAATTCAGTATTTGCATAACTCAAACTGAAACTGGCAAGCTATCTCAGCATCAAATCTTATATAATGTACTCCTAATACACATTGCCCCCTTGGTACGTCACCGAGGAAAAAAAAGACAGGGATATCATCTTAATCCTAAACTGTGTATATCGAGCTGAATGAGAACCTTTACACGGTCTCCTCAAAACAAATTAAACTGGAATGTTGCCGTGATACGCATTCCCTCCCTATTCTAATTTACGGAACGACAAGGATTAGGATACTAGTGAACAATATTATCTGTATGTTGAACTGAAGGCATCCTTAACGCGATCTCCTGGAACGATTGAGAGCGAGAGAGAGCTGCTGGATTTGCCTGTAGGACCCGATCAGCATCTGATGTTTAATATCTGAGTTCTTTCTGAAGGCTTTAAAAATACCACCTCTAACTACAAGTTCATTTTTATCCTGTTTGATACGCAAGGTAGACCACATAGAACTCTTTGCAGCCTCATCTGGGTCATCGATTCTCAATATCTTGGGTACCCAAGGGTACCGTTCTGTTTATTACATCTGCCTTTACATTTGCATCTCTTGAATGTTTTCCCAAGGTTGGTGAACAATTGCCTGAGCATCCGCCATTGCCAGAGGACTACGAAGGAGATAAGCTGCCAGCAGGGCCAATTGAGCATTCCATTTTCTAGAGTCCCAGCATGGCATGTAACCCCAGTACGACGAAGGTACGAATGGGGAAGCGAAACTAGAAGTATACGTAAGATTAGAATCATTGTCATATCCTGGCCGACCATCCTGCTTCATTCTTTTTTGAAAAACGCAACGTGCTGTGAAGCAGTGGGTGATAAGGAACCACCATCTCCAACAGCTGCAGAGGCAGTCTCAGAATTTCTCGTCTGGTCTTTATGATTCAAGGCAGTCTCCGTAGATTCAACCAAAAGCGCATCTGAGACAGAACTTAAGACTTCCCTAATCCCATTGACAGGTTTTGGAGAGGTTGGAAGTCCACAAGGTGATACATGCTGTTGGCCAACAAAGTTAAGGGTGCCTCCCTGGGTGACTGGTACTGCATTCGGTTGTGCCACTACCTGATGATACTATGAAGATGAATGCTTATTCTTGCGCCACCTGGAGTCATTCCACCTGGAGGGCATTCGTGAGTCTTTCAACTTGTTCTATCAAAGTTTCAAATTTTGTGATGAGCCGTTGATTTATGACAAATAAATAAAGGATCAGCACACAAAGCTGTCAAAGTGATGTTTCAGGTTTGATTGGGCTTTTTGGAAGCCAAGGTGGCATTTTCTGGCGTTGGGCCCTTCTACAAAGTTGTTTAGGACAACTCAAGATAAGAGAAATTTAAATATAATTAATAAGCAAAGAGGAACGTGTTCAAATCATACAACTAACTAGAATACTAAAAGACAGAATATAAAATTGAATGAACAAAAGGATGAGTCCTACACCAACATGACTCGAAGATGCCGATGTAGAAGTGCCTTGACGCCAGGATTGTACGCCTCGAATCTAAGTCCTGAGGGGGTGCAAAACAAACATGAGTGGACTAAGTTAATAGAGTTGATAGATATAGAGATATATATATATATATATATATATATATATATATATAATAAAAAAATTATCAACATACTAATTCCCAAAGTTTTATGAAAACCAATAAAATAATATGTGGCTGGTTTTCTGAAAACCCTAGCATGCCATGTAGCATCTCAAAACATATCTTGTATATATCATAATCGCTAGTGAATGTCCAGTCTCACTCCAGGCCCTGTGCCAGCTTCCCATCCTTGCGTCGTAGCCAGAGGAAATCTCTTCAAGCCTTATGCCATTCCGTGTCTCTCAACCCATAGCTAGAGATTAGTTTTCCTAGCCCTATGCCAACACCGTAACCTCGCCCGCATACGGAATAGGGACCACTAGGTAAGTACAAAACCATTGAACACACACACACACACACACACACACACACACACACACACACATATATATATATATATAAACATGTTCTAAATATTATATCGTCATCCATCATATATCCTATAATGAACATGGGTTATAGGGAAAATAGGATAATTCAAACTAGCTTCAGTAAGCATGTTATCTAGTAAAACGTTTCATAAAACGTAAGTATTAAATCATGCTTTTCATGTATGCATTTCTACTATTAAGACATGCATTTTAGAAGGGTCCACTCACAAATATTTCATCGTCAAAGAGCCACGTAAACTAGCGAAGACGGAATGTCACAATACACCTAAGCACATAAACGGTCCAATTAGTCAAACTCTGCTTAAAATACTTAATTTGGGAAAATGAATGTCAGAAACAGGTTCAGGATATCGAAATTAGCCTATAAGGGGTTTCAGACGAAAACCCAAAAAAGTTAACGTTGACCGTTGACCGATCAAAGTTAAAGTCAATGTTGATTGTTGATCGGGTCAAAGTTAATGGGTCCAGGTCAAATCGGGTCGGGTCAAACCAATTTAGGATTGGATCGGGTTGGGTCCAAAAATGGGTTGAGGTTTGGGTTTAAAGCTATCGGCCGGAGGCCCAAGTGGATTGGCCCAAAGGCCTCGGGTTTAGGGTTACTGGGTTTGGGGTCTCTGGGATTCAAAGGGTTAACAAGTTGGAGGCCCTGAGGTCTGGGCTCGAATGCAAAGGCTAGAAGGCTTACTCTTATATGGCCCTAAGGCCTAAACATTTAAAGGTTTTGGGTTTGGTCCTAATAGGCCTTGGGCTGAAGGTCTAGCCCAACCTAAAAGGGTTTTAGGTTTGGGCTTAATGGCTAACGGGCCTAAGGCCCAACTCTTAAACGGCCCAAAGGGCCTAGGTTCATTGAGCTTGGGTCATTCGACCCGTTTCTCGTCGAGGAAGGAGGCCGGAGCTTCTTGAGCTCCGGTTGCCGTCGTTTGGTCAACATAACTTACGATCTACTGACAAAATTGACGGTAGAGGTGAGAGGGAGAAGTTGGTACCTGAGGTTTGCTGTGAAACGGTCGGAGATGGCCGGATATGGGCTTGCACACCCACGATTCATCGAACTTGGGTTTGGTGTTCTCTGGGTACCCCGGAGCTTCATGAAGATGATGGAGAGGAATGGAAGGTCTACGAGGGTGGTGGTGGTGTTGGGTCGTTGTCGGGGTCTTTTTGGGTGTGTGTGTGGGTGTAGATCGGGCACAGAGTCCGAGAGAGAGAGATAGGGAGTGAAAGAGTGAGAGAGAAGAGTGTGTTGAAAGAGTCTTGGGGAAAGAGAGAGAGAAAGGGGATGAGTTGGGGTGATGCCACGTGGCAAACGGAGAGAGAAAGAGAATCTAAAAGGGAGGGTCCGGATATGATTAGGATACGGGACCAATTTGCGCATTTCAAAAACTTTTAGGGATAAAGTGAAATTACAATTTAAAATTGGGGGTGGGGTTTTACATTTGGAGCTAGTTTGGCCCATGAATGTGGTGGATTTGTAGCTGGACAACTTTTTCTATTTCATTAAGGATTGTAATCTCTAAGTTATATTAATTTATTGGGAAATTTTTTGAAATGTCATATGAACTTGTACACCTTTTTCAATTTGTCCTATAAACTAAAATTTTAAGCAATTTGTTATGCCAACTTTTTAAAATCATCAATTTCTCATCTCACCCTAACTCCATTAAGTTTTCCATCCAAAATAAGTCATGTGCGAGGCGCATGACTTGTGTAAAGGTTATTTCTGCCATTTAAGATCTTTTTACAAGTTCTTTACTTTTCTTTAGTAAAACCCTTAAATTTTGTATTCAAGGGTATTCATACGAATCATTGTGTTCGAGCAGTGTATATGCATCTACAACTCCATTTCTGGCACCAAACCTCAACTCGTTTCTCATATTATAGAGCCCATATAAAATTTGATTTCATGACATGCTAAACTGAACACCCTAGAATTGTTTTGATCGAATGCAACTTAATAGAAGGAAATGTGGTGTTAAAATGACAAAAATAACCCCGAACACAAATCATGTGTGAGGCACATGACTTCTTTTTGATGGAAAACTTAACGGAGTTAGGGTGAGTTGATAAATTGCTTAAAATTTTAGTTTATATGACAAATTGAAAAATGGGTACAAGTTCATATGACATTTCAAAAAATTTCCCTAATTTATTTTGTTTCTAAGTTTTTAGAAAGCCTTCTCTAGGAAGAATTTTATTGTAGAATAAATAGCTTTGGCCAGCCGTAGGGTTTTCTCTATGCGATTTTGAGAGAGAATTTGGTTATAGCTTTGGAGATTTGCATACTTTCAGACAAGGTGTTTTCAATCTTTTTCTTTTTAATAATACTTTATTTATTTTTAAACATGAATCTGCTAACTACTTTCTTTTGCAAAGGCGAACCCATGAGCCTTAACAAGAATATGTATTTTATTTTCAATTTGCTTATGATATTATGCATGCATGTTTTGAATTATTAATCACCGTGTTTAAACTATCTATTTGTCTTAATGATTAGCGACCATTATGGTATTTAGAAAAGTAATTTGATGCAATTTTGGTTGGAGGGTTTCCTTGAAATTGGTTAAGGCTTCTTGT